ACTACTACTACTACTACCACTATTGATACGACTACTGATACGACTACTACTACTACCACTACTACTACTACTACTACTACTACTACTACTACTACTACTACTAATAATCCTGCTACTACTACTACTACTACTACTACCACTACGACTACTTCTACTACTACCACGACGACTACTACTACTACTATTAGTACTACCACTACCACGACTGCTATTACTACTAGCACTACTACTACCACTACTACTACTGATACTACTACCACTACCACTACTACTACTACTACTACTACCACTACTACTACTACTACTACTACTACTACTACTACTACTACTACGACTGCTACTGCTACTGCGACTGCTACGGTTACGACTACGACTACTACTACTACTACTACTACTACTACTACTACTACTACGATCACTACTACTACTACTACTACTACTACTACTACGACTGCTACTGCCACTCATATCACTACCTCGACTACGGCCGCGGCCGCGAGTAGTATTTGTGTTGCTACCAGTACTACTACTAGTTCTTCTGCTACTGGTACTAAGACTACCACTACGCTTACCAATAATAGCAGCACTACTGTTATTACGACTACTGCGAGTACTGCTACTACGGTTAATCTTTCGACTACTACTACTACTACTACTACTACTACTACTACTACTACGACTGGTATTACTACGTTTCCTATTTTGACTACTAGCACGACTACTGCTACTACTTTTGCAACTGCTATTATTACCACTACTACTAATACTGCTACTACTACTATTACTACGGCTTCTACTACTACTACTACTACCAACACTGCTACTACTACTACCACCACTACTACTACTACTACTACTGCTGCTACTACTGCTACTACTGCTACTACTCCTATTACTCATACGACGACGACTACTATTACCACTGCTACCACGATTACGACCTCCTACGACGGCTACGACCTATTACTACGACGGTTTTGGCTTCTACTACTACTACTACTACTACTACTACGACTACTACCACTACTACGACTACTACTACTATTACTACTACTACAATTAGTAGTACGACTACGACTACTTCTGCTGCTACGTTTACTACTACTACTACTACTACTACTACTACTACTACTACTACTACTACTACTACCACTACTATTGCTACTACTAATATTACTACTACTACTACTACTACTACTACGACGACGACGACGACGACGACGACTACTACTACTACTACTACGACTACTACGATTAGTACGGCTACTACTACTACTACTACTACTACTACTACCACTACTACTAAAACTGTTACTACTACAAGTACTACTAGTACGACTACGACTACGACTACTACTACTACTACTACTACTACTACTACTACTACGTTTCTTCTTCTACGACTACTGCTAGTGTTATTGCGACTGACACTTGTTCACGACTAGTACTACTTGCATTACTTGGATTACGACGGCCACAGTTGTGACCACTACTTCTGCGGCTGCTAATACTACGACTACTGCTACCACTACCACCACTTCTATTACTACTATCGCTGCTACTACTACTTCACTACTTTTACGATTAATACTACTACTATTTCTGCTGCTACTACTACGACTACTAGCACTACTACTACTACTACTACTACTACTACTACTACTACTACTACTACGACTACTCCTGCGACGACTACTACTACTACTACTACTGCCACTACTACTACTACTACTAATACTACTACTACTACTACTACTGCTGCTACGACTGCAACTACTGCAACTACTACTACTACTACTACTACTACTACTACTACTACTACCACGGCTAATACTGCTACCACTACTACTACTACTACTACTACTACTACTACTACTACTACTACTACTACTACTACTACTACGACTATTACTACTACTACTACTACTACTACTACTACTACTACTACTGCTACTGCTACTGCTACCCCTACCACTACCTCGACTACGACCGCGGCCGCGACTAGTATTGGTATTGTTACTAGTACTACTACTACTAGTTCTTCTGCGACTACTACTACTAAGACTACTACCACGAGTATCACTAATAGCATTACTACTACTAGTACGATTACTGGTAGTACCACTACTACTACTATTACTATCTCTACTACTAGCATTACTACTACGATTAATACGACGACGACTGCGATTATTACTATTACAATTGCCACTACTACTACTACTACTACTACTACTACGACTACTACTAGGAATACTAGGACTACTGTTACTGTGACCACTACTACTACTACTACTAGTACTACTACTACTACTACTACTACTACTACTACTACTACTACTACTACTACTACTAGTACTACTACTACGACTACTACTGCTGCGACTACCACTACTACTGCGACTGCGATTGGTACGATTACTACCACTACAACTTCTATTACTACGGCTACTATTACCACCACTACCTTTACTACTACTAATACTACTACTACGACTACTACTACTACGACTACTACTACTACTACTACTACTGCTATTACTACTACTACGACTACTATTATTACGACTACTATTACTACTACTACCACTACTACTAGTACTACTACGGCTACTACTACTACTACTACTACTACTACTACTACTACTACTACTACTACTACTACTACTACTGCTACTACTGCTATTTCTACGACGACGACTACTAGTACCACTGCTACCACGCCTACGACCTATTACGACGGCGACGACCTATTACTACGACGGCTTCGGCTACTATTACGCCGGCTTACTACGACGACCAATTAGTAGTACGACGACGACGACTACTACTGCTACTACTACAACTGCTAAAACTATTACTACTACTAATACTACTACTACTACTACTACTACTACTACTACTACTACTACTACTACTACTACTACGGCTACGACTGCGACTACGACTACGACTACCACGACTGCCTCTTCTACGACTGCGACTAGTATTCTTACTACTTGGACTACTACGGCCACTCTTGCGACTACTACTTCTACGATTACTCATACTACGACGACGACTACTGCTACTACTACTACTACTACTACTATTACGACTACGACTACTATTACCACTACCACTACTACTACCACTATTATTACTACTACTACTACTACCACCACTACTACTACTACTACTACTACTACTACTACTACTAGTACTACTACTACTACTACTACTACTACTACGACTAGTGCGACTACCACTACTACTGCTATTCCGGCTACTAGTGCTACCACTTTTCATATTTCTACTATTACGACTGTTCCGACGACGACTACGACTACTGCTACCACTGACTACGGCTACTAGAACTACCACGCGTACTTCTACTACTACTAATATCGTCATATATATATATATTACCATTATTAGTATCATTTGTTTTCCTACTACTACTGCTGCTATTACTCGTACTCGTACTACTACTACTACTACTACTACTACTACTACTACTACTACTACTACTACTACTACTACTACTAACTACTAACTACTAACTACTAACTACTAACTACTAACTACTAACTACTAATACTACTACGACTACTACTACTACTACTACTACTACTACTACTACTACTACTACTACTACTACTAATACTACTACTACTACTACTACTACTACTACGACTAACACTACTACTACTACTACTACTACTACTACTACTACTACTACTACTACTACTACTACTACTACTACGACTACTACGACTACTGCTACTACTACTACTACTACTACTACTACTACTACTACTACTACTACTACTACTAC